TTAAGATTTGGAGGCATTACCTGTATAGAGTTCGATGCGAGATCTATACTGATCACAAGAGCCTTCAGTACATTATGAGCCACAGGGATCTTAATTCGAGACAGCGGCGTTGGATTGAGCTCCTGAAGGACTATGACCTCTCTATTCTCTACCATCTGGGCAAGGCGAATGTACTAGCAGACGCCTTGAGTCGGAAGGCAGTGAGTATGGGTAGTCTAGCCTTTCTTTCTACTACGGAGCGACCATTAGCTTTGGACATCCAGTCCTTAGCTAACTGGATGATACGGCTTGATATCTCTGATTCCCGGTGTGTACTAGCTTATGTGGATGCTCAGTCATCTCTGCTGGATCGCATTCGTAGCCGTCAGTTTGAGGATGAGGACGTAGTAGCACTTCGAGATCGAGTTTTGAGAGGTGACACCGGCCTAGCTACCTTAGATTTAGATGGGGTTTTACGATTTGGTGATGGACTTTGTGTTCCAAGAGTTGGGGGTTTGATTCAGATGATTCTTACCGAGGCCCATGAGTCCAAATATTCTATTCATCCGGGCACAGCTAAGATGTATCGGGACTTGAGACAGCAATACTGGTGGAGCGGCATGAGGAGAGATATTGCGGATTATGTATCGCGTTGCTTGAGTTGTCAGCAGGTTAAGGCCGAGCATTTTAGGACTGTTGACGAGCTTCAGAGATTCCCCATTCCTGAGTGGAAATGGGAGAGGATCACCATGGACTTCGTTGTAGGATTATCCCGCACTTGCCGTGGTCTTTATAGTATTTGGGTCATCGTGGATCGATTGACCAAGTCAGCACACTTCATTCCTGTCCATACTTCCTACAGTGCTGAGAGGTTAGCCCGTATCTACATTCGAAAGGTGGTTCGTCTTCATGGTGTGCCTGTTAACATCATCTCAGACCGGGGCCCACAGTTCACATCTAGCTTCTAGAGGACTTTCCAGGACATGTTGCGGGCTTGTGTTAAGGATTTTGGGGGTCAGTGGGACCATTATTTTCCTTTGGCAGAGTTTGCGTACAACAATAGCTACCATTCGAATATTCAGATGGCCCCATTCGAGGCCTTATATGGTAGGCGTTGTCGCTCTCCAGTTGGTTGGTTTGAGTATACAAAGCCCAGGCCGCACGATACAGACATGATGCGTGAGGCTTTAGATCATGTGAGGGTGATTCAAGATAGTCTCAGGACAGCCCAGAGTAGACATCAGAGTTATGCGGACCGTAAGTGTCGACTGTTGAAATTTGTTGTTGGTGATAGAGTATTCCTCCGTGTGTCTCCCATGAAGGGTGTAATGAGATTTGGGATGCGGGGCAAACTTAGCCCCAGGTATATAGGTCCTTTTGAGATATTGAGGACAGTTGGAGAGGTCAGATATGAGTTCGCTTTGCCGCCGGCCTTTTCAGCTATTCACCCAATTTTTCATGTTTCGATGTTGTGCCGGTATGTTCCAGATGAGTCCCATGTGATTCAGTATGATGCAGTTGACTTGGATGACAGTTTGAGATACATTGAGGAGCCAGTTGCTATTTTGGCCAGAGATGTCAGACGGTTGCGTTCCAGAGCCATTCCTTTGATTAAGGTCCATTGGAGGCATCGTCCAGTTGAGGAGGCTACCTGGGAGACCGAGCATGAGATGCGGGCGCAATTCCACGGCTTATTTGAGCCTTCAGGTACTTCTTGACACTTACTTTCGCAGACGAAAGTTCTTTTAGTAGTGGATATTGTAATGACTCGCCAGGTCATTTTCAAATTAAAGCATTCATTCCATCATTTAGAGCATTCCCGTAGCGACCCCAGGTCATTTATGATTTGCTGGCACTGACTGTTCGATCGCCTGGTCGTTCGTTTGGGTTTTAGGACCGTTTCCCTGTTTTGGAGATTTTATAACTTGAAAAGTTGACTTTGGTCAACCTTCTTGGAAGACATGCTCAGATGAAAATTCTGACAGCTAGGTTAGCTTCGTAATATGTATTTTTGGTCTAGAACGCCCCTTTGTTCACTTCCCGAGGCTTTAGATGCCCGTTGCGGAATCTGGCTCAAAACGATACTGGGTGTGGGAACCACTTTTCATCGAAGCGATCTCCAATGGAAATTCCCACTTCACCGTTGAGTCCGAAATATCATTTCCAATCAGATTACATATATAGTTTGTGTTTTTACGATTCAGAACGAGTCCGGAACATCAAAATTTAAGTTTGAAGAGTTGTTGAATACTAACGCGATGGTGACGTGGCAGAGCCACGCGACGTCAGGTGGTAGCGTTGTTGAAAATTTCCATGTTTAAGGACAATTTTCGTCCATTTTTTTCCCTCATCTTCAAACATAGATATCTCCTCCATTTTAAGCACAAATTAGGTGATTCAAAAGGCTAAATTTCAAGAGAATTTCGTGCGGAATCTAGAGGTGAGCTCAGAAATGCGAGGGGAGCCTTCGTTTGCAGTAAGGAATCGAATTTAGCTACTGCTAGAGTAATTTTTCGGAATGAATTGTTGTTGAACTTTGAAATGTTAGATCTTGATCATCTTAGGTCCGTTTTGAGTCATTCTTGAGGCTAACATGTAGATTTTTTCGCAAGGATCGTCGTGGTATAATATTTTTTGGTTGGAAGGGTCTCGTTTTTCCAGAAATTGGTGATTAAGAGGCTGCCAAGTCGTAAGTCAAGACTTATTAATGATTTTAATTGTTGGGGCTGATTTGCTATGTTTTAGGCATCTTTTTGTGCTAAATTTTGGGGTATTAGTTTAGTAAGGTATTTGGGACGTTTTCATGGATTCGTTTTAGGGATTCCAATTGTGGGTCCCACAATCCCGATTTCCTTGTCTTAGTTCCCTGTACGCTCGTGTAAATACCCACATTTACTACTCTTTTGCCCTTGATTGTGACACTTTATTTGCATTTCAGTTCACTTTTGTTTATCTTGCTCAGTCGGCCTGACGCCTACTGGATTCATGTTGATTTGGTACTCATACTACATTCTGCGTCTATTTTCGTAATGCAGATTGGAGTACTAGCTACCGACATTGATTCGAGCCACCTGCGGTCGTGATTGGAGGCAAGGGTGAGCACACAACGTCCTGGATTTACCCGTCTCCTTCTGTACTTACTTTTGCTTGTCTTTTGCCTTTTGAGACAGCTTGTTTATATGGTCCACTTTTAGCACTTGTACTTTTGTTAGTAGCTCTGTACTTGTGACTTCCAGGTTTTGGGAGCAATTCAATTTGTGTATATAGGTCTAGTCGCTTCCTCCCGTTCATTGCATGTTCTTGTTATATTTATTCCTATTTTAGGTTGATTGGTTGTTTTCTACCACAACATCCCATTAATTCGAGTTCCGGGATATTGGTAGGCTTGCCTACTGATGGGTCATATAGTAGGAGCCATCAGGACCTCAGAAATTGGGTCTTGACAAATTGGTATCAGAGCCCCAGGTTCGTCGGTCTCACTTGTACAGAGCTAACGTCTAGTAGAGTCCTGCACATAAATACGGAGACGTCTGTTTCTTATCTTCGGGAGGCTACAGGATGTCTTTAGGAACGTGTCGCTTATGTATCACTGTCGTGCATTGTGTGTCTTATCGGTTTCTGAAAATCTTACTTGTTCCACTCCTTTACAGGGATGGCTCGCACGCGTGGTAGTGCCCCAGCTAGGGGTAGAGGCCGACAGAGAGCAGCACCAGCCCAGGACCGAGAGCAAACTTCTTAGCCGGTGATAGAGCCACCAGCTGCTCCAGCACAGCAGCAACTGATGGGCCCAGAACTAGCCCAGCCACCGCCCGAGCCTGTGGAAGCTCTAGGTATACAGGCGATGCTCGTACAGATACTAGCTGCCATTGGGGGTATGCAGCAGGTCCCAGCTCCAGCCGTTCCAGTACCGCAGGGCCAGCCTACACCAGCGGTACCGGTTGTTCAGCAGCTAG